GAAAAGAATTGCAAAGTATCTTCATTTTGCTGTTGACACTAGGAGAAGCCAGCAAAGAATCACGTATTCCCCGAGAAACCAAAACATCTGTTGTCTGTGAGAAGAGAGCACCAGGATGAGAACAGGGACTGAGGGGTCTCTACAATCTTGTCCACACTGGCAGTGGCTACAATGCTAACTAATTGGAAAGAGGCCCATTCATGAGCAAGCGAAGGAGGGGCATCTGCGTGGCAAGCCAAAGAGGAAGGAAGACAGACCACCTCATTCCCACAGGATGAGGGGGAAAAAAGGAAAAAAAAAAAAATAACAAGAAAACATCAACCAAAAAAACAAAAAAGAAAGAGTTGGTCCCCCTCTTCCCTCCCTCTCACCCGCCTTTCCTCTGTAGCTCTTCCAGTCCCAGACTCCAGACTAGCTTCATCCTTGTAATTTAGATTAATTTCTTCCACATTTTCCTCAGGGATTAGGCAGCAACCCCCCAAACCCCAGCACTCCTACCCCCAGCATACACACAGCATGCATGCACGCACACCCAGCTCACCCCCTACCATAGTTGCTTAATGCTCTCATTATTGAACTTCTTTCCACCAAATATAACTTCACCCTACCCCCAACCTTCGCACAAAAACAATCACTCACAAATGTAAAACCTCTCAACTGAGATCAGTGTGGATAGCTTGATATATGATTCTACTTATTATATAAAGAAACCATTATGTCTCATTTTCAGCTTTATTTGGTTCAATACTTAGAGTCAACTCAGAATTATTATTGCTGTTTTCAAATGCCGTCAACCACGCACTGCAATAAACATCCTTTGCAGCAATTACTAGCCAAAGTGGTTTGTCACGGAAAGATGAACCTCTTTGGCATCTTTAAAAGGTTTCTCATAAATAAAAGGTAGAGGTTGCCTTGGGAATAATTATGGAATTAGGGATAACAAAACAGCTGCTATAATAACAGATACACAGTGAACATATAAAAGGCAGTGACTATTGTCAATACACAAATTAGCCATGGTCTTTGACAACTGTTCACTGCGTCGCAGCAGCCAAATACTGACAGACTTACTGTAACTCAGGTGTTCTTTAATGCCAGTGAGTCACTCTGGGAGTAGACACAAACATTCCTCAGCCATACCGGGAAAGTAAAGCAAAGACACATTTGCTTTACGACTATTACGTTTTAAATATATTTACATTGACCAACAGTTAATTACACTTTCCTCTTCAATTTAAAACGGCCAGTCCATCGCATCATGTACAGTAAGTACTAACTGCTGGCCTAGATGACTTTAAGAGGCCACATTTGCCTCTGTTTTTCTTTGGTCTTTTCTTGATTTTCTGCATTTTTCTAACACACATATATTATCCATTATATGCCCCATCCCCGCCCCCACCCCATCTGTTTTCTTTCTTCCCAAAATATATTTTTTCAGTTGTTTTCATTTACAAGTAAAATTGCAGGAGTGAGAACATTATCAGACTGGAAACAAAGAACTGCCTTCTGCCTGTGTGTTGTAGGGGAATTCTACTGAGCCCTGCAGTAACTAAAACTACATGCATATACACACATTATTCCACATCTTTGCAAAACATTTTAAATTGAAAAAAGCTGAATTTTGTTTGGGTAAGTTGCCACATGTGTCATAATGAATAATACAGTAACAAAATAGAATTCATCTTCAGTCTGGACTAAACATAAGAAGCCTTTTTCTTTCTAGAGAAACTGATATGTAAGGTCAGTTTCTATTAGTCCTATTAATATGGGTATTTCTGGGATTTTTTTTTCTATAACCAGTATATAAAAAAATAGTTTGACTCCAACACAAAATAACTTACTCCCCACCCCCTACTCCAACGAGGAGTCGACAGTGAACGGAACAATGTCACAGAACTTGAGGCTAGCCTTAAAGTACAACATCAACTCATTAAAGGTGTAATTCCTCTGCTGTTAAGATCAGATTCAGTACACTTACTTCAGTATGATTTATATTTTATCCTGGTATGTTCTTGTGCTTTTCCCAGCACTGATGCAGACCATGTTGCATCAACTTTTATCAGAATGCATCATCTCTAATACTTTTAGTCAACTTGCTCTCCATATAGCTCCTCATTCCTTACTCTTATTCCTCAGTGGCACCAAAATGGCACTATTAATCATGTAAAGACCGGATTGTTCCTATTTTTGTCCAAATGAGAGACACTTTTTTTTTTATATTAAAATGATCATCTGGGTTGTGTGTTTACAGGGCCAGGCGTGTTTTAATTCAGATTTCTGATTTACACTACTACTCTCATCTGTGTGACTTGTCACTTATGACATGGAACGTTAAGGCTATGTTTTAACTCATAAAGTGGTTTCAGTGGTTGGGAGCTGCAAGCAAGCGATTAGTCTGACTGCAAATGAGCCTTAATGTACAACAGATTTCAAAGACAGGGAAGGGAAGCGGTTAACTAAAAGGGTAATTGTAAAGTTCTAAGTGTCCTCGAAACAAGTTGGGCAGAAATCTATAAAAAAAAAATTGTAACAGTAAGAGCATACAGTCAACTTGTTAGGCTAATAAGTAATAAAAACCAACAAAAAGATTGTCAAACAAGGTTTAAAAAAAAAAAAAGGGAAATATCACATCAAGTTGTCTCCTTTTTGGCCTTTTTTCCACTCTTACAGTTTCATCCTGTGACTTGGTTTGACCTACATGGAAAGGTCATTCAGTCAGAGCTGGAATAGAATACAGCTACAGTTCAGTGAATCTGGAGTTGACAAGTAGCCTCGGGCATCCTAATGAGGTCTGAAGATTATATTAACATGTCAGATATAATCTCTAATATCTATTTTTTGAAAGAAAAAAAGTACATGAGTTCCTCTTCTTTCATAAGAGAAAAAGAAGTGAAGGTAACAGGTAAGTGCAACAAGTCTATGCTCGCCTCCTTTTCCCAGCTACATTAGGCGTGTCGTAAGAGAATTACTCACACGGTCTCACAGTTGAGAAGAAAACGTTTGACCAGTTGCGATGTTGCCTGTGTTTTGGAAAAACACGTACAAGGAATTAAACAAAGCCGTTCACCTGATGTCAAACGGAAAATATGATCATTGTATATGTAAAATCAGGTCAGTTTAACAACTCTGCTGATCATTTGACCAGCTCCAACTTTGTGAATGTGCTCAGTTCGAATTGATTCTACTGACAATAAAAGATTTGGGGGGGGGGGGGGGGGGGGAAACCCCCCCCAAAAAAACAAACAAAACAAATGGGACGTGTGTACTTAACAGCTGACATCTGCCAAAACAAACTTTGTGATGTGACAAAGAGACGGCATAAAGAAACAAGGTCAACCTCCAATCAAATCCTCAGTGCTTCCTCAACCATTTTCAGCCTGTCATCAAAGGCACAAGAAGAAGAAAAAAAAAAAAAAAAAAAAAAGTCTTCCTCTTTCTCTCTGCTAAATTTCACCCATACCTCCTCCACCTATTATCTACCCTTTCAGGGCCAAGCACACAAGCTAACACGAGTAACTGAAGGCAGTTAAAGTCAACCGCTGTGAGGGCAGCGAGCCACTGCGTTGACAGGTCTGGTTAAACAGGTTCTGAGGGGAAAGGCTGATACTTGTTTAACTGCAAGGTAGTTGCTGCTGCTGCTTCCTTTATAACCTGTGGCTTGGTTTTTGGGAAATGTTCGTTTCACCCACTGACCCCAAAAGCTAATATAAAACATAAAGAGAAACACTGATGTCATATATGTTTGTGCATTTCAGTGCCGTTGTTATACCTTTCAATTCAGCTATATGTTCGATGTTGATTCATATAAGTGTTACTCCTACGTATGAGGGGCCGTACAAGCCAAAATTCATTCTTTCAAGCTGCAACACTTGCACCTGCAAACTTCTTTTTACGTGCACTCAAAATAGTGGCACAAAAATAACGCCATAGATAGCTTGCTGAAGAACTTATAAGAGCACAATATTGCAATGTGTGTTTTAAATATGTGTAAACATGAGAATAAAAATATCCAAATATAAAAATTAAAATAAAACTATGTGAGAGTGAAAGTATATGTATGTGAAAGAAGAATATATGTATGTGAGAGTGAAAGAATGAATTTGTTTGTACGGCCCCTCATACCTACGTGAAACACAAACAGATGAACCTCTGAAAAGCAAGGCCTGAACAGACAAGTGATGATGAAACAAGTAGACAGTTCTGCCTAACTTCCTTTTCTCTTAACTAAATTCTTTGCTGCAGCCACAAATTTGCATCTCATTATTCCCCAAGAAACTTGCAAGTAGGCTTAATGGCACACCTGCTCCAAACATATGTAAAGGAAATATTGGCAAGCTGCAGAGGATAGACGTTGAATGCTGAACGGTTAGTACAGTCGATTCAATAGTTGTCCAAGTTTAACATAAACAACCCATTTGTCCTCTCTAAGCTGCACTTCTTTGTTCATCACATGATGTACTTTTGAGGTCTGTGCTTTTACTGAGCAACACAGCTTATTTGTGAAGCTAAGTGAGAGCACATAATGATGGCTACTGTTCTCATTAGTTTAGTAGGGGATTTTCTTTGCCGTTTATTAATAGGAAAGTTTTTCAACACATGACTTAACCATCATCTGTGTGATATTGCTGAAAAAGAGGCTACAGAACAAAAGTGCTATCCATTAAGAAAAAAAAAAAAAAAAAAAAAAAAAAAAAGTAAGTGTGTGGCCTAGGCAACATTACTGACTCACTAAATCAGGCTTGAGGCTGTCATTTATTTTTTTCCTGAAACTTTAAAACAGCATTTTTTTTTTTTTTAAACATTTTCAAAAATGTATATCATCCCCACTTTCTAAAGTCTAGTTTAAAAAAAAAAAAAAAAAAAACCTAACTGATTTACAAAAGTTTAACACATCGTCATAAAAAGTTAAGCTATGCACCAAACTGATACCATTATTTACACAAGCCCATTAAATTACAACATAAATTAGAAAATATTTACATCCAGGACAAGACACTGGATAAAATTCTATGCTTGGAATTTAATTTCTAAAAACATTTTTTAAAAGAAATATTTACATTTACGCACGCATTCTCACAACCAACACACAACCTGGCAGAAGTGGGCTTGTTGGTAGGTTAGTGTCAATTTGGATGTTGTTTTAATAACTTGTTCACAAAAAATTAATAAGTAAAAGCAAACAAACAAAAATTCTCACGACTATGTACTGTATGTGTTGTAAGACTGAGTAACAATGGATCCATGGCAACGCCTGTAATCCACAAACACTGAGGAGGCTTCTGTCATAGCAAATTCAAAGTGCCCCTGCTATGCATTCTGGGATTTTATCTATCATGTAGTCTGTTAAATCATTTTTGCACATGAGAAAAAGGGTTTGCAAAGTCCACATCAAAGTGAGTTATTCTCTCCTGCAAAAACCAGTGCTGCTAAACTGCTTGAAATGCATAATTTGAAGTCCAGACTTTTCTTTTTGTCATTTACATCACTATGTAACATGGTGCCATAATGCACACCTAGCAGCTAGTTTGGCATGCCCTCAAAAAAAAAAAAAAAAAAGCAGTCAACTAAAACCTAATGCAGCCACTAATACTGAGTGTTTCAGAGGGTGAAGAGATGTGCTGTAGCAGTATACAACCACAAAAATAAAATAATGAGCCTCTAAATTGGCATAATGGGGGCACTTTAAAGTTTTTGGTTTCTGAAAGAGCACAGGCTGAGATGAGAAAACCAACTGTCTTTTCTCATCTAGCTTCAAATCAACTCCCATGAACAAAAACACAATAACACTGGATCCATTCTGAATTAATGGTACAACTAAAGCACAAAAATAAAGAAAACTAAGATTTTCCATCACACATAACTGTCCTTTGCAAGTCAATTGAGACACAGGAAATAAGTGGATTTGCCCCCAGACTGAGCAGGAAGGAGAAAACTGAGAGGAATTCACAGCCACAGAAAGTCATCTTGAAATGATGTCCTCTAGGGAAGATGAGGGAGGAAGGAAAAAAAAAAAAAAAAAAAAAAAAAAGAGAGAGAAAGACAAGGGAGGTGGAAAAAATAGTCGCAGAATGCATTTTGTTTCCCCCTCATCTTCTTCAACAAAATGCAGGCCCTGTGGTTATAGCAGTAGGCCACTAGCAACTGTATGTAACTGCATAGTGGCTAGCATGATGCGGCATGTATTAATCCCCTTTTTAGGCATGTACTCCTTGCTAGGAATTTAACAGTATTTTATCGCATTACTTTGGTGTATGAATGTACACCCTGGTAACCTCTCTGGAAAAGTCATGGCTGTAGTTTCACTAGCTTATGACAAATAGCAACTGTGCTAAACAGCAATATGAACATAAATGTATACTTTTTTCCTTTTCTCCCCGACTTGCATGCATCACACAGACCCTGCTGTCCGTGGCAAATTTAGAGAGAACTGAATGCACAAACCTTACCAGTTCATAATGGCAGGACTTGTTGCCAAAAACAAATCTTTTGCACGTGTGAAAAATAACATATGCCATGCTGCTCTCCTCTTACTGGTTTGTGTGAATGAAGGCAAGACAAACATTAATATAGAAGTGAACTATCACTAAATGACAATCCTGTTGCTTTAGCAGACAGAAGAAGCCACACATGCCATGTCTGAAAAGGGCTTTACTCTTTCACAGAGCGGGCTCCCATTAGGACAAATCCAGAGCATTCAACACGCATGCCAACAGTAACTGATTTGTAGCCTGCTGTGACAGGCTGTTAAAAATCCCCAACCTGTCAAACTATAAATTTACAGTGTGAGCACACACATTCACACACAAATGCAGCTCTCAAAAAGACAATACCAAATATTGATTTTTAAAAAGGTCCAAAAGGGAAGTCGGGGCAGCAAGATTAAGTGACTCTGGGAATCTCAGGTTCATAGGGATTCTCCTTTAAGCTCTCATTTCCTGTGCTTGTCCATTTTGTCAGTAGATTTACTTCCACTGTCTGAGGATCCCTGGGTGTCGCTACCAGAGCTCAGGTACATCTTGTCCACTTGTTTGAGCGCTTCATTCAGGTAGTTCTGAAGCGAGGTCATGGCAGCACAGATGGCTGGAGAGCCAAAGCCATGAGTGATGAGACTGAAGTGAGTCAGGCAGCCTTGGATTCCAGGTTCCAGAATGGGAGCAGGCCTAGCGTTGCCCAAAGGTGAGCGGTCCTGAGTGAGCAGATCAGTAAACTCTTTGCAGATTTGCCTGTAGGTAGAGAAGCAGAATAACTAAGGATGTGAAATATGTACAGATTTGTGACCTAATTGGAAAATGGATAATACTTCAGATAATTTCGAAAATACAGCTTTCTATTGATCAAATACTTTAAAACCAGCTTTTGAAAAAGGTTGTCTTGCTACATCCCACTTTGCTAGGTGTTTAAATGCATGTAAATTAAAACAATGATTGAAAATACACTTACTTGGCAGCAAGGAGCATGTTCTTGCGCGAGTTAGCCTCATTCCGCTCCACATGTGGCCTACCCAGGTATTCAGCAATTGCCTTTGCAGGGAATTCGGTCTCACACACATAACCAAAGTCTCTTGCTAAATGAACAGCTTCACCTAAGACAAAAAAGAAAAAGATAATATTACATATAAGAAAAAAAACAAAAACAAAAACAGGTTTTCTGTAGATCCAAGAAAACACTCAAGTTGCAACTTTATTGCTAACCACAAATTAATAATTGTGAATAAATATATTACTAATACATATTAATATTAGTCTTTAGACAAATATTATAACAACATATCCTTTGACATACTAGATTGTTAAGCTGTCCAGGAGCAGAACAATTTACTAGTTTAAGAGCATTACATGAATAGTCCCATTTTCAAACAGATATACACAAGCATGAAGGCATAAGAAGTGAAGCAGCTGAACTGCAGAATAATCATCTGCAGTCATTCTTCTAACTCTAGGTAAGAAGAGCTATGCAGATTGATACATTTTTGTCTTCAGGGTGGCTCGACTTGCATGTTCATAAAGGGATTATGTGAATAAATGCTACCAAAACGGGCCCCGAGATGCCAACAACACCGCTTATTGATAGACATGTACAAGTCTTCAAATGCTGGCAGCTATTCAGAAGCACAAGCTTTAAGGTCAGCTGGCCCTCCTGGCAAGCCGAACACAAGATAACAAGGCTTAATTCAGCTTTGAAGGTCTCTAAATAACACAGGCCTCCAGTCATCTTCCTGCACAGAATCATCACCCCATTTATAAAAATTCGGCATGTGGGGAGTGAGAGAGGGAAAAAAATAAAATAATATCTTTCTATAGCCAGCGGCAGGTAAATGTGATTAAAGTGATACTGGGATGATAGAATCAAATGTCACTGACTGAGGTATGACTGCAGTTGTCATTCAAACTATACAGCAACAGAAAACAGTCACAATAAAAATCAGGGCTGTATGACCTGGTAGTATTCTTTCCATCAACAGGAACAATTAATTTTCCCTAACACAACTGAGTTTCAGAGGTGACTTTGCACACTAGGTAATACAAGACAACATGCTCAATGGAGTAACAGAATTAGTGCTGAGGTTTGTTGTTTCTTTTGAGTATTTCAGATGGAAAATGGTCATCTCAGTCTTTTATACACTATACGAGTTCAGTCAACCTAATTTTGGCTAAATTTTCCAAACCACTATGACTCACCAAATAATGTGTAGCTGACAGTCTGGCACATTAAACACAGGGGGGAAAAAAAAAAAAAAAAAAAAAAAAAAGGTTGCAGTTACATTGCCTTTAGTTACCCTTTCCACAAGAAGTGAAACACACACATACCAATGCCAATACACTAACGTTCCCACATTCTCATACTACTAACGCGACATTCCAGCCACTGCAAACCGTAATTATAGTGCGAGAATTTACTGTGGGCAAATGACTAATGTGTCATACCTTCTACTAGCGAGGTAAGTAGAGTGACATTAGCTGCCTTCCTTCTTCCTGCAGGCAGGTTAAGCCCAATTTTGTCCAGCTTTTCTCTCAGAGAACGGCCTCCATTTTTTGACTTGGCTCTGTATAAAGAGAAAAAGAAATTGAGGTCATTCACATATTGTCTTGACATTTTCATCAAATTATCAGTGGAGTTTTAAAAGGTTATTGTGTCATTTATGACTATTTATTTTATCCCCCTTGAGACCATAAATTAAAAGAAATACCAAGAGTTACAAGATATGTACTGTACACCTGTGTAATACACATTCATGTGTATAGTCTCAAACACTTCTGAAAATAAATTACAAGAAGATTCTCTTGACCTAAAATAAAATATTGAAACAATTCATGTTCCACTCAAAAGCACAGCAGAGAGGTATAACTCATAAATGCATTTTCAGAAGCTCTTGAACTCTCCACTTGCCATAGCCAATTCAGTTTTCTGCATGACTGGCAGACAAGCTCTCCCCCTCAGTGGTCGGTGAGAAGGGGCGCATCTTTGGAGAGACATGTGTGTTTGAGTGCCCCCACCCCTTCTCCCTCTTGTCCCACTACTAACGATAGTCCTATTGCTGTGTGACCTACTTTTAAGAAAGAAGAAGAAAAAAAAAAAAAAAAAAAAAAAAAGAGATTGTATATGTGGGTCTGTGGGTGCATGTCAGCATTAATACAGGCACATGGGAAGTGGTAAACATGCACTCCAAGTACAAAATGCTCCAGTCAGGAGTGTTAACCATGTACTGTAACCTCGAAGTCCCTCAACAGACTGCTGCACTACCATGTGTGCCATAAGGTCAACTGCTCTGGCACAGTTTAACATTTGCAATCACGTACACAGGCACACAAACACAATAGGTAGGTACTAACAATGTTGACGCAACCTATCCCCAATGGAAGCACTGAACCCAAAATTGCACACAACACAAAGAATGTCACAAACCTTGCAAAAAATAAAGAAAAGAGGAAAAATGATGAGCCGGAGCAACAGAGTCAAGCTGTGCTTTTAAAAAGAGCCTTTCCCATGGGCTACTAAGCTTTAGCCTACAGATCACTTGCTCCACGCCTTCCACAGCTTAATGATGGTTTATTTTTGAGATAATAAAAGTCTTAACAGTTTGCAGAAACCAGAAATTTTGAACAACTGAAATCATTTTGGATTAGTTAATCCTATTTTTTGTGAATCAATAGAAATGTATTCACATGTCATGTTAAAGATTTTTACGAACCACAAGGAAAAAGAATACTGTCTAGCTGTGACGTGGAATGAGACCGAGCCCTGACCTGCGTAGAACGCCTCCCAGGAGCGATGCGTTGAGGCATTCTGGGGGTGACAAACGTCTCTGGACTTCAGCCACAGTAACCTTGTACTTGGATGTAGAGCTCAGCAAGGAAAGACGGCCTGGTACGGAGCAAAACACCTCTGTGGGATTTGACACCATGCCCAGCAGGGACTCTTTCTGGAAGGGAAGACCCAGTGCGTTTCCTTTAGGCAGAGTGACAGGCCCTGGAGAGTGAGGAAAATAATGTTTGTAAGCTAAATACTAAAGTAGTGCAAAAGAACATAAAAACAGATTGTGGTTGGGCAGTCAGATTTGTTAATTACTGTCAATCTTTATTCCAGACTTACGATCCATAAAAAAGAAAAATAAATCAGACAAACCAATCTGTACGTTTCCTGTTTATGTGCATAAGCTCTGATCTTTCTGTGTCTTGTGCGGAAAAGCGAGCAGAAGTATGCGTATGCTGCTCTCCTCCAATGAGGAAAGCCAGTCTCTGCTGTGCCAAAATATACAAGAAAAAAAACATCTAAAGCCTTTTGAAATGTGTGGTTTTGGAAAGATCGGATGCCTGATGGTTAAACAGCTATGATGCCCTCACGTCAAACACCATCCACAAACAGGTACGCACATACAGACCGTCACTCATCTAAGCCACAACCTCGGAACCGTGAATTGATTGGTCTCACAGTCTTTGATCGAGCTAGACATTGTGATTTTTTTTAAATGTCATCCCACAACAAAAGCACTGACAGACAAACAAAACAGTACAGCACACTACGAAACAAAACAGCTATCTTCATCCTCACCCGCGAAAATTCCCCCCTGATAATAAGTCCTCTGTAAGCGATCAAGGTTCCTGCCACCTCGAAGTCCTAATACTGAGACAGAAATGACAGAGTCACATCAGTGCTTTAAATCTCCTCTCCGGCAAATCACTGGGAATGACATGCCATTGTTTACAAGTGGAAACCCTAGATTGCCCATAGCGTGCCCTTGAGCCTGGGAACAGTATAATAAGCAATCACTGATTTACGTAACAAATGCAGACTGTTTGGTTTATTGCACTCTGCAAATGTCGTGCTGCTTGTTATGTACTGTAATATTGCAATATTACAAAGCAACCCTATAATTACTAGCATGCTTTCAAAGAATAAAACTTTGGGACTGTACTGCAAAATATGACATTGTCAGCAAATCAAAAACATCAATTTTACTTTGATGTTTAACATACATATGAACAAGAAACTAAGGCGTGACGTTTACATTTTAAAATGAAACTTAACTCTACTTACGCAAATTATATTTTCTACTTGTCCACTGTCCACATACTGTTCATAATAACATGATGTTCCTTGGGTTCATCTTTCACTTTAAGTCTGTTTAATAGAGCCCTGATGACAGAACAGCAGGAATAAGTTTCTCCCTCAAAACAGTTCAAGTCTCAACAAATTACTAAACTGTCCTTCACATGCAAGCCTAATGCCACACCCACCCAAAAGCTGGTTCTGCAGAGCCAAACACAGCTTCAAGACCAACTCATAATTTCCTGCTAACATGAACTGAAAAGAGCTGCAATTGCGAGCTTAACACGCCTAAAGATGATCCAAAGCTTTGGAACTCATAGTCAACACAGTTTGTGAGATTGCTCAATTTCCATGTCATGTCAGCTGTAGCCTGATGAATATGAAAGGGATCAGTTCTTTCCCACTGGGCATCCATTCAAGCACCTTCAACAGAATAGGCTAAGGATCACATCGGGCTTAAATAAGTGCATCGCATGGATTATCATTGTATGCAGTGTAAGTACAAACAGAAGACGCCTCCTTTCCTTACTCTCTCACTGAGTGCCCTGACATGCCACTATAGAAGTATGTCATTTCCAAGTATATAGAGTTCAACAAATGAAGGTCCAGCATTTTTTAGTAATTACCACATATTTTGCTGTACAAAAGCATTCCTCTTCAGTTTTCTTTTTTAATTGCTCTAACAGTTAAAAAGTCAAAATAAATAAAATGTCACAACTCACCTTTTTTGATGACCGTCTGATCTGCCATAATTATACTGTGGTCGTCTACTTGCTGATAACAAAGAAAAGAAGCAGCAGTAAGTAAACACATGCATTGCTCTGTTTTGATAAGATGCTTGAGCTAGACTATTTTTTCCTAAGGTGGGTATTTTCTTGATATTAGTAATCATAGTCTGTCTCTTTCATGCAAAGCATATAATGTAATATGTTCCATTTTATAATAGAAATATTTTCTACTACCGCACCTTTAACTTGGAAGCATTTTGAATATATGTGACCTTTGGTTATATTAACATTTAGGAGATTTTAAATCTCCATATGGCAGGCGAGTGCAATAAAACACACTATAATGCATCCATTTACGACTTTTCAGTATATTCACTACTTCGACTGCATTCACACAACCATTTAAGCACAAAGCCTCAGTCTTTGCGCGCCTCTGCCTCAAAAGTATAATGTCAAGTGATTATATAAATCTAATCCACTTACTTGAACATCATCCAGCCCGTGTCCCATGTCATGCATCCCCATATTATCGCCAATAACCGACGACTCTAGACTGTGAGCGTGTGGAGACAGCAGCTCCGGTCGGCGGAACCCTTCCCTCCTAACCCCTGACGAGCCTCCCTCCAAGCCTAGGATCTGACTCGCGAGTCCGCTCCTCCCGTGTGCGCCGAGCCCCTCCTGGCCTTGCCGCCCAGGCCACGGCTGCTGTTGGTTCGACGATGGCGACTGGTGTATGGAGTTGATGTTGAAAGGGTCCCCGAGGTGAGAGTAGGGGTCACTAGACTGCGGGTACGAGATAGGCTGGTAGGGAGGAGGAAAGTAAGGGGGCTGGAAGTCTGAACTGGCCGAGTGTGAGAGGGAAGTAGACGGGCTGTAGAGGTGTTGACTGACCGCCGGCAGGTGAGGCAGCCGTGGGTTCCCATTGCTGTTACTATCGTGCCTTTCCTAAGGAATGGAGGAGACAAAGCGGCTGAGAAAGATGCCAACAACATGGCAGGTTGTCACCCAAGGAGATAAAATGTCAGATTATTCGCTGGCACGATGTCTACTGAAAAATGGGATTTAGACGGGATAAAACAATAACGGAGACCGTTAATTTGGAATTTTTCTTAGTACTTAGTGGCTATTGCAAGAATATGCAAATATTCTCAGCAGCAATCAGCGTCTCAGATTATTATTATTATTATCATCATATTTTATTTTATATAGAGAGTAACAATAATAAGAACACGACCCCACTTTAATTTTATAAGGAATCATAGCCGGCTTTAACTCTGACAACGACATCCTGTTTTCACTGTTTCGCCAAACTTTACTCTAACTTTTCTCCCTTGGTGCAGCACATCATGCTGCTTCTAATGAGTCACCTTCCGAAATTTTACCGTGATTATTTCAACCCAAAGGATTAAAAGTCAGCACCCACTTCTTGCCGTTAAATTCGGTGCCACTGATCTCACTTAGTGGAGGCCATCTCTTACGAAACTCACCTCACAGTCGTCCTCGTATTTTACGTTGTCGGCTAATTTCCACAACATTTTGGCTGAGGAAAAAGTCTCTTTCTTGCAAATTTATAAAAAAAAAAAGTGTAAAAGAAAAAAAAATGGGGGAGGGGGGAAAGAAGCCCGCGAGTTAATCCAGGTATGAAGAAATTAACAGCTTCCTGGTGGTCATGAACCCGCTTATTCTTCAGCTGCAGCAGGAGGCAAAGTTGTAGGCGAAGGCTGAAGGGCGAACTGACCTACCGACTGAGTATCCAACTACAGATATGAGTTTCCACAGCCACTATGAGAGAAAAATAATCGTTGTCAGGCAATATTCCCCCCTTTCCTGCCAAGGCGCTCAGTACCTCTGTTGTGAAAGTGGGCGAAACCGGTTCATAAGAAACTTGACTCCCTCTTATGGACAAAACAGTGCTGTTCAGTGCAAACATGAGCATTTCACTATATCTGCACAGCTACTTACAGTGGGCGTCACCCTGTCCGATGATGTCAGTGAATTGGAAAAAAAAAATAATAAAAATAAAAAATCCTGATTGGCGGGGTGATTGTCCAATCAAAATTCGGTCCGTCTGTAGCGCGTCTTTGCACGGCGTCAAATATTAAAAGGATTAAACATCCCCAGTGTAGTCTATATCCATTTCCCCCTCTCTCTCTCTCTCTTTTTTTTTTTAACCTATTCCTCGTGTCTTGCACCAAATGCTGCTTCTCATTAACATTTTTACTTCTTTTATCTCCTCGGGCCCATGGGTAGTTGAACCTTTAATTTTACAGGGCACTGTGTTCTGTTTAATGATTATATTCTTGGGCTTTAAAGCGATTCATTGGGCAGAGATCTGTTAGCCAGTCATCAAAGAAATGATTTCTTGAGTTTTATATATTTACAAAATTGCACTTTACTGAACTGCAGGACAATGTGCTCATGTAAAATATTACGACTACGAGACAGAACCTGTGAAAACGTTGCAGTTACTGCTGTACGTTAATGAGAGCTTCTTGACGAGACCTTGTACTGTAGTATACGCAGGCTTTACACAGTGTATTGCCTCTAGAGACCAATCACTTTGCTCAGTTTGAGCTGCTAATTTTAATAGCCTTCAGGAGAACGTCTTAATTTGAGGTAAAAACAAAAAAACAAAAGTTAACATTCGTGTTCTTAAAACCACCACCACTAAAAGTAAAACCCTATTATTATTATTATTATTATTATTATTATTAGTGGTAGTAGCAGTAGTATGTAGGTCAATTATTATTGGCCTGCATACATACTACGCATAAATGCAGTGATAGGAAACTGAGCCAAGCTACTGTGTGTTTCCCTTTTATTCCTAAAACCTTGTGGTTATGCTTTGACCGACTGGATAATTTTATAATCTTAAAGATCACCTTTTTCCCACGACAAGGCGTACTTACAGTTTGTATGCTTAATTCAGTAACAGGTATTCCAACAGGCCCGTGACATTTTGATGTTTCATATCAGTGGTACGTTTCAAACCGCAATAAGCCCGAGGGCTTAACCGCATTATTCTCTCAAAAAGCTCTAAAGCTCAAAGGATTTCGGCAAGCAGCCCTTTCTTAACTTCATTTAAATTTTTGTTGAGCTTTATAGTATCTCGGAAGGAGGGCTCTTTGAACTCTGGTTTTAATCAAAAGACAAGTAGAACAGACTTTGAGGGGGGAAATACATGATATAAAAATAACACCTGTTATCAGTTCTTCAAATCGTATTATGCCACCCCGAGGCTGCTCTAGTATTTTATCACTTTGTTTTGCATTATCAATTGATACGTAAACCAGTACGTGTCAGATTTTAATTTGTGAACTTAACGTGCGGAAATCCCGTGGCTTCTCTCCACCCAGCTGTGATAGTCCGCCCCTTTTTGTCCTCTTTGCCTTGTTGTCATGCCAAGCACTATTTATTTATTTATTTTTTTAAATGCCCTATTTAAAATGTTGTTCTGTGTTGAAACAGGCACAGGACGGACCTAAGAAAGTTAGTCACGCTTGGCCGACCGGTAAGGTTTTGAAAAATCCTGATGCTCAGCCTGTCATTTTAATGACAGCCGACTCAGCTGATGTCAGGTGTGAAGACAAAATGGATCCGTGCCCGGACACATTCAAAGTGTCACAGAAGCCAATGACTGAGCTCTGCCTAGTGATCTGCCTGTTTGCTTTGATCCCAGACTTAAGAAATATAGTTCAAAGCTGGTTTATGAACTGATTTTAACACCCAAAATTTGCATTGTATTGATAGGTCTACTAACTAAGTGAGTAAACTACTAAGTGAACAACCCTAATGGAGATCACAGTAATATTGAAGTTGCTCCAATATGTGTTCGTAACTGAAGAAAGAAAGAAAGAAAGAAAGAAATATATAAACTTTACTGGGCGGAAAATCTACTCTTGTAATCCCCCGCCCAAAAAAAATTCAATTTAAAATTTATAACTTAAACTGTTTGCAGAAACTATTGAAGAGGTGGAAAAAGTACCCTATCAGCAATTTTACTGAAAAATCATTTCATCCTTTATTTCAGTTTTAACCATCAGCAGCTCCACTGGTTTGTGATCCAGTAGCCTCAAGCGAAAATACTCAAAGTTTCTGATGAGTTAAACCTTATTATTGGCATTAATCACAGGTTATTCAAAAAGCGCATATAGCGCCGTGCGACTTTAAGCTGGGGATAAAAACGAATTTGTAACTGCCCTTTTCCGCAGCAACCATTTTGACGTGAAGCAGTGTACAGCCACAGCCGCTACTAATGACATTAATGAAGATTTTGTAATTAGTAACACCTGTAGTTACTTACCACGTCGTGTCCAAATGGCTGCTGTAAAGTTTAGGCTATATAAGGAGGGACTCAGTCTTAAGGTTAACGAGAGCGCACGTTTGCACAATGCAAACGTATTAAATTAGACAATAAATATATTTATGAGTAGATCTATGATTGCTATAATTTGACTTAATATAGCCTAAACTAGGGTTACGTTTTTATTCTACTCTGAACAAGACTGTTTTTAAAGTGATCAGTGTAAGAAAGACCCTCCGTAAGTTTACTTTTCTGTTAGTCTTCCACTGATGTAGATATTAAACGAATAAGTTTAGTCTTTTAATAAGTGCATTAGAATTATAAGTTTACATTTTACATTAGCCTTTTCATATGCTTGGATATTATTGATGCCGTAGTTCACTCAAACATGGTGCAATTTAAATTCCTTCTATATTCAGGTTATTTTAACTGGAAGCTACTAGTTAAATCAGCGAAGGTTAAAAGATAATCCACAGGCCTCCGTCCTGTTCAAGCAGGATGTCAACCAATTTGCATTAGTTTTTCACCCTTATTGCTCACTCCGTGGCCTCTCGCACGCAACAATCTCCCAATGCCTGCGCCTTCTGACAGGGACCTGATCTTCAAGGTGGTTTTTGACCAAACAGGGAGCTGATCTGCAAGGTGACTTTTACGGGAAACCCTGTGAAGCTTGTGATATTTGAAAGTTGCCATTTTATACCCTACAGCTGTAATTAGTCAGGCTTGTTAAATTTAATGACAGAGGTGGAAGTGCATGAATTCATTGTTCAAATTTTTAAGAGTGTGGCTGTAAAAACGGACTCTAAGCTAACCTATATTAAGATGAAGTGAGGCTGATCGTCTACAGAGCTCTGTGAGGAGTGTGTCGGGCCCGAACAGCACCAGCCCAATTTAACTCCTTGTTATGGTGGGAAGTAATAAAACAAAAGCGATAAACACGATACAGGCTTGGTCAAATTAGATCATCTGTAAGAGGAAAATACAGGAGGCAGCCAACTCACCCTCCAGTCTATCCTCTCCAGTACAGACATCTGCAAGGCTCCAGTCGCAGTAATCCCGCTGAGCTGCAGCGAATGAGTGAAACCATGAGTTTTACATTGCCGACTTCACCTGACTGCAACGCAGGACGCATGCGCACTCTAATGAACTGCACCTGAGTGGACAAATCAAAATTTATTGCCAAACCGTTTATGGAAATTTGCATATACGGTTTGTGTAAAACAACGTGTACATTAATTTATTAATATGAGGAAAGCTGGTACGAAAGACTAAAAAAAAAACAAAAAACACTGAGGAAAACAAACATGATGCACAGAATTAGACTTATAACCGAGACAGTACTACAGTTAAACTTATCATTGTATTCTAGTTTTGAGTGTAAAAAAAATAAAGTTACGGAGGATAAAATTAATGAATACGTGGAAAAAAAGAAGTATGGAAAATTCAAGATAAGGCAATTCCAGCCCAGCCCTAAAGCCACAGCGCCTCGGGGTGACCACAAGAATCTGCTTTCAAAAGCCACTGAAGCTTTTTAAGGTGTATAGTCCCTGTTATCTGATCTCCAGAAGATTTCAGCTTAAACTATTGAACAGATCAAAGTGTCTTTGCTGTGTGGTTAAGAATGCAGCTGATATATCTTGATCTGGGGAGGGGGGGAAGACGTCTACCTGTGGTCTGACACCTGTTTAATCGATTTTTAAAAAATGGTGGAATGACACATTTTCCCCCCAGATTAATTTAATTCCAACAATAAGACCTTAATTTAAAACCGTGTGCTACTGTTAAAAAATAAAGATCTTCTAATATATAAATTTTGTTGTTACGTTCTTGAGTAAAACAAAAATTAAGGGTGGAGGGGGAAAAAATCTACAATTTAGCAAATCTGACGTTATGTGTTGGTGAAATAATTCAAACCAATATAAGCAAACAATAAATTGTTCCGTGTAGCTGGTATTTATTATATCTTTCCAAAAAACCACAACAAAACACCAATTTCGTTTTATTATAGTCCCCCATGACCACTAAAGAGGCCTAAATAATAAATATATTTTTTTTTTCATTCGCAAGTCTTTATTATAACTATCAAATAAATTAAAATGTTTGTTTCCTAATCAGTGTTGAATGCTTTGTTTGATAAAATGCCGCACTAAGTGATCCAAACGTGAAAGAAAGAAAACAGCAGACTACCAGGAAAATCTCTGGATGGAAACAGTTCTGTTATTCTAAAGTTTTAGCCACCATAATTTGATCATTTGTGGTGTAACGAGAAGCAGGCTTTGTACACCCTTTGTATGCTGTTTTCTTTACGCCGAGTATAAAATCTCAGCGCGGTACTTGCGCCTGTGCTGTCACCTAGGGGCCGCATCTTTTCATTACCACAGGACTGCAGTAGTAGCCTGTTTTGTAGTGGCTGTGGAGTAAGTAGCTACTCTGGGTGGACCTATTCAGAGATCAGCTCAACATATTACATCTACGGTACTTAATTTTCAGTTATTTAAGTTATTTAGGTATTTACATTACATACTTCAGCAGTGAGAAAAATAGCTTATTGGCATGGCATATTACT